TGTTCTCACATATCAAGCTGTTAAACATACTCCACTTTAATCAAATATATATACAAATTTATTAATATTTATGTTGCGCAACAAAAATTATTATTAGATTAAATATTAAATATATTTTTTATAATATACGTACTTTGAGATACAAATGTCACTAATATTTTCTATAAATCTAGCTAAATTTTAAAAAATTGACTTGCACGAAAATCTAAGCAACACTTAAAAATGGACAGAACAAGCATAATACTTAAAAATTATTCCCGGAGATGCAACTCAGCATGAATGGTGGAAAAGCACCAACGGTACCGTGGGGTTGCAGATGCATGACGTGACAACAGAGTTTACACCTTTGTTTCCACTGATCTAGATATTTATTACAAGTTTAATTGCGTGTGTTTTCTTTTATGTACAAGAAAGAGGTTATTCGTGGAAATAATTATTTCTTGGGGCTGGTTTTAATCCTGCACTCCTCCATTTCAAATTATAAGTCATTTTAACTTTTTTGATGACAAAAGTATCTTAAGTTTGACCAAAATTATAAATTACAAAGGTTTATGACATGAAGTAGATATAATATGAAATATAATTAATGAATTTTGTAATAATACTTATTTGATATCATAAATATTATTATTTTATTATATAAATTTGGTTAAATTTAAGATAATGCTTTGACTCTAGAATGATTTATAATTTAGGATGGAGGAAGTACTTGTTTGTGAAGCTGAAGGAACTCAATCTTGGCCTAGTGGGCCCACTAGGCTGGTTAAATGAAAAGCGATTCCACTGCATTGAGGAAAGTGGTCCTCAGGATAAAAATGAAGAGGGTGACTTGTTCTAACTTGTAAGGTATCCTATGCTCGGCCCTTGTGGTCCTGCAGATGGCATAGCTGATGGCAGCGGGCTGTGTGGATAAGGAGGTGTTTGATCTATGGACTAAAATTTAAGAGTGTTCGGATAGTAATAATAAAATAAATTATAGAAGTCGTCAGTAATCTAGGACACGAATTTATTAAGCCTAATCAATTCGTCATTAGCACATGTTTACTGTAGCACCACATTATCAAATCATAGATTAATTAGGCTTAATAGATTCGTCTCGCAAATTAGTTTCAATCTGTGCATTTAGTTTCATAATTAGTCTATATTTAATACTCCAAATTAGTATCAAATATCTGATGTGATAGAGACTAAAAATTAGGAGGGGAAACCAAACACCTAGAATGCCCACAACCCCACACTGCCCCATTTCCTATAAAAAAAAACTGCCCCACTCAGCAGAATACACCGACACAGTTTGGGAAGAACTTGCAGTGTGCACGGAACAGAAAGGAAACGAAAAGATGACAGAGTTTTTGTTTTTCAATATGCAAAAGGTTTACACATCTTTTATTTACAATAAGATCGAGACAGTAGAGTTTTACATCGACGTGCCACGAACCAAGCACACTAGAGGGGTCTAAGGGTATTAGAATCCCCACCCTGACAAAAGAACGCATGCAGCGACTTCTTGCAAGAGACAACCCAATTTAGCAGGGGAGAATTATGTATTTGGCATTAAAATAAATCGATCTTTCATATTTGACACTAGAAAATTTGAACTTTCTTATCTAGTATCGAGTTGAAATTTTCTTTCGTAAATAGCACTGCCGTCCATTTAGACCAGTAACGGTGTCAAGTGACTAGCAAAATGACACAACTGCCCTTGATTGTAGCAAAAGTCCATGGTGCTAAATAGAAAAAAAAATAGACAGGTTATCAAATAAAAATATCATAAATATACTTTGAACTAAAATGTGGATTTTTGATAATTGAAGAATGCAAATAAATAATTAATAAATTTCAAATTGGTAATAGCAGGTACAGATTATGCCCCTCGCTCTTCCTTTCATCTTGGCCACATATCGAGGATGCATGGCTCAGGATGGCTGCGGGTTGAAATACATAATTTATATTTTCAAGGTATTTATCTTTTAGTTTTTTAAAAGAAAAGGAGAGTATATGCCGTCATCATAACATCATGGCTCAAGAGCGGAGCACGCAGCCGGAGAGCTAGCGGCTTGGGCGCGTGGTGCGCAGAGCATGCGGTCTTCGCGGAGCTCGCTCGACATGCTGCTGCTGCTGCTCGTGGCCTGGGTAGCGCGCCAAGGACGCGGTCGGCGCGAAGCGGGCAAACTAGGCGGCGCACGAAGCACGCGGACGGCGTGGAGCGTGCGAGCTGGCCCCATCGCGTCCCTCGCGTCGTGGCCAGGCACTAGCGTCAGCGGGCGAGACCGCCCCGCCGCGCCCCGCGCTGCGAGCTGGGGCCGGCGCTGGCGGGCGAGGAACTCCCAGCGCGTCCGCGAGCTCCGCCCTGGATGCCTCGAGGAACCTGCGCTGCTTGTCGTCGGCGAGGCAGAGCAGCGACGCCTCGCACGCCTCGTGCGCGTCAGGCGATGGCGGCGCCACGGGGCGGAAGTCCATGAGGCTTGCGTACTCAGTGAGCAGGTGCAGCATGTAGTCGTAGACGGCGAGCATGCGGAGGCCCTACACGAGCGGCGGGCCACGCCAGCCGACGCGCTCGGCCTCGCCGGGGTTGGCGTTGCCCCAGTCGACGGCGTCCCTGATGGACTCGCACATGCCCATCTCCGTCACCGTCTAGTAGTTCACCCGCGCGCTCCAGGCCCCGGCTGAAGAAGTCCTGGTACCGCGGCTCGATCAGCAGCGCAATGGATCCACACGACAGGATGTACTTGAGGCTTATCGACCACGCGAACCCCTCCACGTAGATCTTGTACCGCCGCGCCTCCGCGAGCTCGTGGGCAGGAGACGAGCCGCCGGCCACAAGCGAGTACATAGGGGCATTTTGGTACTTCGGAAAGAAACATAACAGGATCAACGCAGCCAACTGACGGATGGATGCACTAAATGGACGGTAGTACCATTTACAGAAGAAAATTTTAACTCGATGTCAAATAAGAAAGTTCAAAAATTTTAATACTAAATAAAAAAGATTGATTTGTTCCGATGTCAAATACATAATTGCCCCATTTAGCAGCCCCGGCGTCACGCGCGGTGGCTCCGCGGCCACTTACCCTGTCCAGCATCTGGGAACAGCTCCCTCTTAGGCCCCGTTTAGATTCCAAAAAATTTTGCGCAGTAACCGTCACATCGAATTTTGCGACACATGCATAGAGTACTAAATGTAGACGGAGAACAAACTAATTACACAGTTGGGTGAGAAATCATGAGACAAAACTTTTGAACCTAATTAGTCCATAATTAGACACTAATTGCCAAATACAAACGAAAGTGCTACAGTAGTCAAAATCTAAAAAAATTTAGATCTAAACGGGGCCTTAGCTTCAGCGTGGGATGGATAAATAATAAATTGACAAGTAACAAAACCACACATGCAGACTGATGACAAATTGTTACACCACACATGCAGACTGATGACAAATTGTTACAACGACGACATTGTTGAGGTGACAGTAGAGGGAAACACCTGACCATGATCGCAGAACGGGGCAATCCGTGAAGATAGCAGGGACTCGACAAAACACAAACGACATGAAACACACTCACACATACACTACGCACATTACATCGGAATACCGAAATATGCCACAAGCGGAATTATTTAGAGCATACATGTAATACGTACGGCACTTGCTACCACGCAGCGCATACCTCAAACACAAGCTACAGCGACGACACGTCAGATCTATCAGGGCCAACTATAGATGTTAAAATATCTTGGCTTTGGTTGGGTTTAGAAATGAATATTGGATTTTTCTCCGTCATTCAAGGCATAAATCCAGAAGCTTTCACCTTGCTGTCAGATGGCCGAGCATATAACTTAACATAAAGCTAACATCGATAGCATCATTCTTGTCGTGCCCACCTCGCAATCCAGCTGCTAGTGCCGCCTAGTGCTATGTGCTGTGCATGCGGCTTTTCCTTATTCCTCGCTAGTGCCGTGCGGCGATCGCCCAGGATGCTTCCCGGAAACTTCCTCCGCATTGACTGTCACCACGTCGCCTCCTAGTGGGAGCGGGACATGATGCCATCCATTTATTATTCATGTGCCCTTCCCACTGAGAACGGGTTTGTATCTTGTAAACTCAAACAGGACATCACTATCGGACTCCTCATTGCTCATGTCACGGACGGCTTGGCAGACAACCAGGATGGCATTAGTTGTAAACAGGGTATTTAGAACCGGAGTTTGAAACCATATAGATTCATATAGAATTTATTGCTTGCTTTCGAGCACCTTGAATCTATGATGAACGGTTAATGCTTTGCTACAACCTCATCAGATATTTCATTCCACCATGTGCTTAGAGACACGGTGACAGTAGTTTCTTGGAACTTCAGTAGCATGCGATTATGGAGTTTAAGATTGGCTCACCGCGGTCACTATGGACAGAAATACATCTCGTCCTGCTCCCTTGCATATCTTTGCTTCTTCCATTCATCCATAGTCGTAATCCTCCGGTTCTTCAGTCTTCCTCCTCTTTTCGTCCTCTTCCTTGGCACTCCGAGTCTCCTGTTCTGCTCCAAACCCACACGAATTTCTGCTCACAGATGTTATTACAAGCAACAAAGCTGTTGCTTCCATATGTCGTATGTACAAACTGAGCCTATATTTCTTCAGTTCTTCTCTGCTCCCTCTGCACTTGCTCTCCACTTCTAACACAAGTAACTCCCGTGCTTGACAACAATCCAATAAGCTTACCGGATAATAAGGCCGGAAATTCCTCCTCCAAATCCAATAAGCAAACCAGAGGGATCTCCTGTGTCTTGGGCGGCAGCAGAAGCAGATCTGGCCGTGCTGAACTCCAGATCTAGCAGAACCACGGCAAGCTAAAACAGCCGGTGTGACAGCCAAAAGGTGAATTAAAGAAGCCAAGAAATTAGCGGTGAAAACATAACCTAGTTGTTGGCCCTGAGATATAGATCTAACGCGTCGCGCTGTGCTGTGCCGGCCGGTATGAGCCTTGCGGCAGCAAGTCAGATTAGTTGGCGACGCCCTCACCCGCCGCCGCCGGCAGAGCCGGCTGCTTCTCCTCGTGCACGAAGAAAGCGTAGAACCCGCCGCAGGAGGTAGCGGTGGCCATGGCCCAGACGACGACCTTGACGGCGAGGGGCATGATTTCGGCGACCTTGTAGCTAAACATGACGGTGAGGAGCGTGGTGAGGCTCCAGACCGCAGCCTTGACCTTCTCGCGCTTAGGGGAGTGGTGGTCGAGGCGCTCGTAGTACCGCAGGAAGCCGAAGAGCGCGACGAGGTCGACGTAAGAGACCACGACGAAGATGATTGAGCCAGTGTCGCCGTTGGAGCGGTACACGGCCATGCCGGAGTTGAACGTCAGGAAGAGGAAGCCAAGCACCGTCAACCAGGAGATATCGGCCATCACTCTTGCTGCTTGTCGCCCGGGGCTCTGAACCTGCAAAACCGAATCAGCCAGCGTCTTCTTACCTGAGAAACATAAGAATTGCGACACGAGAACCACAGTTAAATGATCGATGATATTCAAGGCAGAACAGCAGCGAGGTAGAGTTTTGCATCAGTGATCAGCGGCGGCGAAGGGAGCGTCCCATCGTCGCCGCTTGCTTTTTCGTCTATGAGAAGGCTGGGGGAAAAAAGTCTGCAAGGAGGGCGTACCTCTTGATTTATCGCTGCAGGGTGTTGCTAGGAGGTGCTCACACCTGCCTTGCTTATAAACCGTGTTGATACTGATACCGAGAGAGAGAGAGAAAGCGACGGCCAAAAATCCCAATTGATGGCAAGCCCTATCTCCCCGCGCCACCGTTGCCGTCAGATCTTTACCATGTGGTCAGGATAACGTGGAGTCACAGGATGTCGTCAGTTTCCATCGGAGAATAGCGGCGGTGTGTGTGTGTTGTGTTTTGGGTTGGGCAGGTTTACGACAGTTCAGCTTCGCTAGTAAAGCTGTTTATTTTAAAAAACAGCATGAGAAGCTTTTTAGGTGAAGTTGAATTATTTTAGAAAAAACTGTTTGGCAAAACAGTTTAATGTATGGATGTGAGAGAGAAATGAGAGAGAGAGCTCGGATAAGCTTTTTTTTTTTTTTAGCTTCATTGTAACTCATGTCTTTATAAAAGATGGATAGAAATAAGTGTTTCACAAATAAAATAGCTCACAACAGCCGTGCCAAACATGACCTTATTGCAGCTGCAGGGTATCACTTGGGTCTTTGGCAGGTTCGTATGAGCTTAGACAGGGCAGGTAGGAGTAGGTTCCGTATGTGCAGTTTGATGTGTTTATTTCTATTTCTCTGAAGAGCCAGTCCACTATGGACAGAAATACATCTTGTCCTGCTCCCTTGCATATCTTTGCTTCTTCAATTCATCCATAGGCCTCTTTCGCTTCGCTAAAAAAACATTATTTCGAGTGATTTGATGTGAGAGAAAAATATTATTCTGACTAAAAAAAACAGATAAAAAAGACGAATAATAAGATAAGCCAACAGAGCCATAGTCGTAATCCTCCGGTTCTTCAGTTTTTCAGTCTTCCTCCTCTTTTCGTCCTCTCCCTTGGCACTCCGAGTCTCCTGTTCTGCTCCAAATCCACACAAATTTCTGCTCACAGATGTTATTACAAGCAACAAATCTGTTGCTTCCATATGTCGCATGTACAAACTGAGCCTATATTTCTTCAGTTCTTCTCTGCTCCCTCTGCCCTTGCTCTCCACTTCTAACACAAATAACTCCCGTGCTTGAGAACAATCCAATAAGCTTACCGGATAATAAGGCCGGAAATTCCTCCTCCAAATCCAATAAGCAAACCAGAGGGATCTCCTGTGTCTTGGGCGGCAGCAGAAGCAGATCTTGCCTTGCTGAACTCCAGATCTAGCAGAACCACGGCAAGCTAAAACAGCCGGTGTGACAGCCAAAAGGTGAACTAAAGAAGCCAAGAAATTAGCGGTGAAAACATAACCTAGTTGTTGGCCCTGAGATCTAGATCTAACGCGTCGCGCTGTGCTGTGCCGGCCGGTATGAGCCTTGCGGCAGCAAGTCAGATTAGTTGGCGACGCCCTCACCCGCCGCCGCCGGCAGAGCCGGCTGCTTCTCCTCGTGCACGAAGAAAGCGTAGAACCCGCCGCAGGAGGTAGCGGTGGCCATGGCCCAGACGACGACCTTGACGGCGAGGGGCATGATTTCGGCGACCTTGTAGCTAAACATGACGGTGAGGAGCGTGGTGAGGCTCCAGACCGCAGCCTTGACCTTCTCGCGCTTAGGGGAGTGGCGGTCGAGGCGCTCGAAGTACCGCAGGAAGCCGAAGAGCGCGACGAGGTCGACGTAAGAGACCACGACGAAGATGATTGAGCCAGTGTCGCCGTTGGAGCGGTACACGGCCATGCCGGAGTTGAACGTCAGGAAGAGGAAGCCAAGCACCGTCAACCAGGAGATATCGGCCATCACTCTTGCTGCTTGTCGCCCGGGGCTCTGAACCTGCTACACCGAATCAGCCAGCGTCTTCTTACCTGAGAAACATAAGAATTGCGACACGAGAACCACAGTTAAATGATCGATGATATTCAAGGCAGAACAGCAGCGAGGTAGAGTTTTGCATCCGTGATCAGCGGCGGCGAAGGGAGCGTCCCATCGTCGCCGCTTGCTTTTTCGTCTATGAGAAGGCTGGGGGAAAAAAGTCTGCAAGGAGGGCGTACCTCTTGATTTATCGCTGCAGGGTGTTGCTAGGAGGTGCTCACCCCTTATAAACCGTGTTGATACTGGTACCTAGAGAAAGCGACGGCCAAAAAGCCCAATTGATGGCAAGCCCTATCTCCCCGCGCCACCGTTGCTGTCCGATCTTTACCATGTGGTCAGGATAACGTGGAGTCACAGGATGTCGTCAGTTTCCATCGGAGAATAGCGGCGACGAAGGGAACGATCTTCGCCACATGCTTTGCTCTGGCGGATTTGAGACCGGAATCATCATTTCGTGGCAACCATATATTTATTTTCCGTCTATAATGAGTAGGCGGAGTTGGTGTGGTCGTGTGTGTGGTCCGGCAGGGTTAGGGCCTGTTTTGCACTGTTCAACTTCACTAGTAAAGCTGTTTACTTTAGAAAATAGCTTTACGAGCAACTTTCTAAGTGAAGTTAAACTGTTTTAGAAAAACCATTTAGCAAAACAGCTTCACCGACAACTTTATACATAGATAAAAGAGAGAAATGAGAGAGAGAGCTAGAATAAACTACTTTTTTTTAGCTTCATCCTAACTTATATATTTTTATGAAAGAGGGAGGATGCTGTTTTAGAAATAAGCGTTTCACAAGAGCTGTGCCAAACATATCGATCACTTGGTCTTTGGCAGGTTCGTATGAGCTTAGACAGGGCAACTAGGAGTAAGTTCGGTAGGTGCAGTTTGATGTGTTTATTTCTATTTCTCTGAAGAGCCAGTCCACTATGGACAGAAATACATCTTGTCCTGCTCCCTTGCATATCTTTGCTTCTTCCCTTCATCCATACGCCCAGTTCGCTTCGCTGAAAAAAAAAATTAAAGCACTTTAATTTAATATAAGAGAAAAATACTATTTTAACTAAAAAAATAAATTAAAAAGACGAATTATAAAAGAAACGAACAGCGCCGCAGTCGTAATCCTCCGGTTCTTACTATTTTAACTTAAAAAAAACAAATTAAAAAAATAGATTATAAGAGAAACGAACAACGCCGCAGTCGTAATCCTCCGGTTCTTCAGTTCTTCAGTCTTCCACCTCTTTTCGTCCTCTTCCTTGGCACTCCGAGTCTCCTGTTCTGCTCCAAATCCACACGAATTTCTGCTCACAGATGTTATTACAAGCAACAAAGCTGTTGCTTCCATATGTCGTATGTACAAACTGAGCCTATATTTCTTCAGTTCTTCTCTGCTCCCTCTGCCCTTGCTCTCCACTTCTAACACAAATAACTCCCGTGCTTGAGAACAATCCAATAAGCTTACCGGATAATAAGGCCGGAAATTCCTCCTCCAAATCCAATAAGCAAACCAGAGGGATCTCCTGTGTCTTGGGCGGCAGCAGAAGCAGATCTGGCCTTGCTGAACTCCAGATCTAGCAGAACAACGGCAAGCTAAAACAGCCGGTGTGACAGCCAAAAGGTGAATTAAAGAAGCCAAGAAATTAGCGGTGAAAACATAACCTAGTTGTTGGCCCTGAGATCTAGATCTAACGCGTCGCGCTGTGCTGTGCCGGCCGGTATGAGCCTTGCGGCAGCAAGTCAGATTAGTTGGCGACGCCCTCACCCGCCGCCGCCGGCAGAGCCGGCTGCTTCTCCTCGTGCAGGAAGAAAGCGTAGAACCCGCCGCAGGAGGTAGCGGTGGCCATGGCCCAGACGACGACCTTGACGGCGAGGGGCATGATTTCGGCGACCTTGTAGCTAAACATGACGGTGAGGAGCGTGGTGAGGCTCCAGACCGCAGCCTTGACCTTCTCGCGCTTAGGGGAGTGGCGGTCGAGGCGCTCGTAGTACCGCAGGAAGCCGAAGAGCGCGACGAGGTCGACGTAAGAGACCACGACGAAGATGATTGAGCCAGTGTCGCCGTTGGAGCGGTACACGGCCATGCCGGAGTTGAACGTCAGGAAGAGGAAGCCAAGCACCGTAAACCAGGAGATATCGGCCATCACTCTTGCTGATTGTCGCCCGGGGCTCTGAACCTGCTACACCGAATCAGCCAGCGTCTTCTTACCTGAGAAACATAAGAATTGCGACACGAGAACCACAGTTAAATGATCGATGATATTCAAGGCAGAACAGCAGCGAGGAGTTTTCCATCGGAGATCAGCGGCGGCGAAGGGAGCGTCCCATCGTCGCCGCTTGCTTTTTCGTCTATGAGAAGGCTGGGGGAAAAAAGTCTGCAAGGAGGGCGTACCTCTTGATTTATCGCTGCAGGGTGTTGCTAGGGGGTGCTCACACCTTGCTTGCTTATAAACCGTGTTGATACTGATACCGAGAGAAAGCGACGGCCAAAAAGCCCAATTGATCGCAAGCCGTATCTCTCCGCGCCACCGTTGCCGTCCGATCTTTAGGATAACGTGGAGTCACAGGATGTCGTCAGTTTCCATCGGAGAATAGCGGCGACGAAGGGAACGATCTTCGCGCACATGATTTGCTCTGGCGGATTTGAGACCGGAATCATCATTTCGTGGCAACAATATCATGTTTGGATGGCTGGTTCGTATCGTTGCTGGTTCGTGAAGAAGTACTGTTGGCTGGTTTATATGAGAGAAAAATATTGTTCCGACTGAAAATTTATGATCGTTTACGACAAGCCACAGCCAAACGAACAGACTGTATATTTATCTTGCGTCTATAACGAGTAGGCGGGGATGGGTGTGGCCGTGTGTGTGGGTGGGTGGGTGTGTGTGGGGTGGGGTGGGGGATTTTTTTATTTTCAACATTTTTTTAAACTATTTTTAAATATAACATAGTTTTATTTTTTTTCTTTAAAACTAATATTTTTGGTCGCGCCTATTCGCATGGCGCAGCGAAATCACGTTACCACGCCATGCATGGGGGCGCGGTAGGAGCGGTGACGTGGCGTGACGAAGTGCTGTTGAGCCAATGCCGATGTGGTGAAATTTGCTGTGCCGTGGATCTGGCGTGGCATAAAGGTGGCCCACGGCGCGCATGTGCAACAAAGCGCGGGACGTGATTTGACGATGATGCGCCGACAATGACGAGACTAGTCCTGCTTGTGGTTGGGCAGGTTGGGGCTGCTTCTGCGTCCTGCTGTCTGCCAAAGTGTCGCCCGCTAGCTAGCACAAGAGAATCATCGTGCGTACAGCTGTACGGAGACTTTCTTTAGGACTAGAAATTTGCATGCTGGACAAGCAGAGTTCAGGGGCTAAGGAGCTCAGACTTTACCATACTAGACAAACTAGTCATGCTTGTGGTTGGGCAGGTTGGGGCTGCTCCTGCGTCCTGCTGTGGCAGTGCCGCCCGCTAGCTAGCACAAGCGCAGTAGTACCCAATCTGCAAGCGCGATTGGAGCAAGTTGGAAGTGTTATGCTATTTTTCTTATGTATGTTATGCAGATTATGAAGTGAGATAATTTTTTTCTATTAGATTTATTTTTTCTTATGTAACTTTCTTGTTTATAAGTTTTTTTTTTCAGAAGATGCATGAGCTATAGTACGTTGAAGACTACCTATATCTAAATTTCACATTACATATTCATCATGCAAATACCCAATATCAATAAAGTACCTACTCAATTATATAATAAAGAAGAAGCAAAGCGTTGTAGAATTGGAGTCTTCAAGAACAATGTCAAAATATATGAGACAAAATTCCTACTGTCTACAGTATTATATTCAACAAATATACAAAATCATCTTAAATGCATGCCTGGAACAGGAAGAATATATTTGATTTTTGTTTATCGATATGTTATGCTAAATGTCAAATTGGCCCTAGAACACTAAGTAAAATAAATCTACCTGTCAATGTCTTTTGGATTCTGCAGGATATAGTAAAATTTTTCAAGCTAATGCAAACTTTTTCTACATTACATTTCTGGAAGACTTCTACAGAATAATCTAACTCATTAACCTTTGCATCCTTCACACTGAAATTTCACCTCTAAATACCGCGGCAATTGCAGGGAATGCATCTAGTTTCAGTAAGAGGAGTGACCCTCCCAATTTCCCAAAGGTCTCCCAATTTGCTGAAATGTATTTTACCTTCTTTTTTCTGCAATAGTCCAGGTGGATTATGTGCCAAATTACTGAATTTATGTAGCCATATCAAACTACAAGTAGTGACTAGAGATTAATTGACATTTTCCACAATTGAAATTTGACAGCTAAATCATTTTTCAATTTACCATTCTAAAATATTGAGATGATGCAATTTCAGTCGGTGAGCGTCCTCTAAACTACCTTGGTCTATATATTTGCACCCATAAATGTTTTCTTAAATATTGTTGATTGCTGCTATGTACCTCTGTTGAAATAAAAATAGATGTCATTGCATGTTTTAAATGGAAGACTTATGTTTCTTTCATATTTATGAGAACCACAGTAATATCTCCGGAGCAACTACTAACTTCTACTAAGCTAATTCATAATCCTGTTCCTCGTTGTCAAGTTTGCATAATTTTTCAGTACCTCTCTTTGCTAGAAAGGCCAACAATTTTGTGATTCATGATTGATCAATGATCACAACAAGTACCAGCAATAGAAAAGGCACATCTATTTAGCAGCATAACCAATTTCTGCCATAGCATATCAACAACATCAGCATCATTGGTATGTTTAAATTCTGTACTGGCCCTCCGTCTTTCTAGTACTCCACCGAGCGCACCAACTGCCCTGGCTGATCTGATCGGAGGGATAGATAGGCTAGTAGAGTACAAGTACAACCACGTCATGTACAAAAGAAAGTCTCCGTACAGCTGTACGTACGATGATTCTCTTGTGCTAGCTAGCAGGCGGCACTGTGGCATATAGCAGGACGCAGGAGCAGCCCCAACCTTCCCAACCACAAGCAAGACTAGTCTGCTCGCTGTCAACGTCATGCGTCAAATCACGTCTTGCGTCTTGCCGCGCCCAGATCCACGGCACGGTAGCCCCGGCCACATTAGCGTTCAGCGGCCCTGGTCGCTGCCACGTCATCGCTCATACCGCGCCCCATGCATGGCGCGGCAAACGTGATTTCGCCATGCCATGCGAATAGGCGCGACAAAAAGTGTTAGTTTTGAAAAAAAATAAACAATGTTATATTTAAAAATAGTTTTAAAAAGTGTTAAAAAGAAAGAAAAAAATCTAGGGGGGTTTGGTTGGGCAGGTTTAGAGCCTGTTTGGCACAGTTCAGTTTCACTAGTAAAGTTGTTTATTTTGGAAAATAGCTTCATAAGTAACTTTCTAGATGAAGCTGAACTATTTTAAAAAACTATTTGGCAAAGCAGCTTCACCAATAGCTTCATGCATGGATGGGAGAGATAAATGAGGGAGAGAGCTGAGATAAGCTACTTTTTTCAGCTTCATCCCAACTGTCTTTACGAGAGAGGGAGAAAAACAGCTTTATGGGTGAAACTGTTTTAAAATAAGTGTTTGACAAATAAAATAGCTCACAACAGCTTCACAACAGCTCATAAAGCTGTTGTGAGCTGTGCCAAACATGCCCTTATTGTAGCTGCAGGGTATCACTTGGGTCTTTGGCAGGTTCGTATGAGCTTAGACAGGGCAGGTAGGAGTAGGTTCCGTAGGTGTAGTTTGATGTGTTTATTTCTATTTCTCTGAAGAGCCAGTCCACATAGGGATTTTTGTTTGCTTTCTTAACCTGCGCTTTGGTACGTGGTCACCTTGGACTAGCATTTGATATAGTTACCACTCATTTCTTTCCCTTCTCTTTCTTATAGACATTTTTACAAACAGGTAACACACCCTAGCTCGCCTCGGCCATGGACACCTATGGCCACGCCTCTCCCGATGGCAACCACAACCCCTAGCACACAGAGGCCGCCCCATGCCCTCACCTCCGTCGTGGCAAGGCGAGCCCAAGGGGTGCGGAACGGCAAGGCCAAAGGCGGCACGGTGGATCTGGCAGTCAAGATGGTGAAGGTGAAGGTGCGCGCGGTGGTGACGAGCGTCCGGGTGGGCTAGGTAGCACGCACGATGGCACGAGCACCCGCCGCTGCTGCAGCGTTGCGGCTACTGGCGGTACGGGCGCTGCTTTCACGTGTTTATCAGCTGGCTTATCAGCTAGAATTTACAATATTTTTCTCTCACAACAAAACAGCTTCAGCCGACTTATCAGCCGGCTTTAATACGAGCCGAACGGACCCTATGACCGGCCCTCGATTCCCACCGGCTTGACAGCGGATGCAGCGCGTTCGTAGCGCGTTTCTTTGCTTCTGAATTCTGATCGAGGGACGAGAACGATCAATACCGAACAGCCCACACGTACGCACGCAGTGACGCAATCGGTTGGAGGGATAAAATCCGTCGACTTGGTGGTCTACCGCCCATCGCCCGCACCGTGTCGCCCAACCAGGTGGCGCCCACGGTATATATCCCTGGTATATCTGGACGCGCAGGACGGCCTTCGGCAAATATCATTCCGCGGTGGCAATGGCATCGGCAGCGAAGAGCGCGTTCCGAGCGTGTTTTGCATTGCGCCCGGCCGTTGCCCGTCGTCGCGAGCGAGGCGCGCGAAAGGAAAGCCACACACAGCAGGCAGCAGCCCAGCACGTACGTACGCGCGCGCTTGTGTTAGGTGGAGACGGACACGCCGTGTTGCCGGGGAAACCTTGTGTGAACGGTGTGGTGTGGACACACGAAAGACATCATCGAGCGGAAACGCACGTACAAGCCGGCGTGCCAGCCAAAGCATGAGGACGTGACGAGCTGCGGGTAATTTACTTGCTTTCTTATAAGCAGAGATTTAATCTCGTTTAAAAAAAAAGCTGCGGGTAATTTCGACAGGGGAGTTGCTTCAAAACTCTTTATGAATTTGTTGCACTCATCAAAAGCTTTTTTTTTTCTTGCAAATGCAAAATGGGATGAAAGGCAGCAGATAGGCAGCTTCTACCCTTCTACTACAAGCAAGGTATACTCTGTATGTCACTTTTATACTGTTTTATATACAAATATTGCTATATATATATATATATATATATATATATATATATACACACACACACACTAGTAGCTGGGAAGGACTAATGGACTAATTTCAATCACATACGAAGGTTATTATCATTGATTTCAATCTCCCACTATAGCTGTTGTTATAGCTCGCTATAGCCTTTCGAGGCGGGTGTTGTTGTATGTATTCACGTACAATTTAGCTGATATATCTCGCAATAGCTTGATATAGCTTCGTAATTAGCTGTTTTAGATATATACCGCTAAACACGTTAGCCTGGTATTTAAACACACTGGTTATTATTGCCGTTATACTTTTGTGAATATAACACGTCACGGCTTCACTTCGGATTGTGTAGCCCCTGACACCTCCACGCCGTAAACGGCAACAGCAGTGGCCGTAAACAACGCCACGGTGGACCAGACCAGCACCCGGGCGACTGGAGCCAGGATCGCCGTGGCGGAGCCTGGCGCCGCCGCGAGGACCATGAACCCGAAGCCCGAGACAAACGCCGAGGTTAGGACGACCATGACGACGCCCGTGGAGGTGGAGCCCCACTTGTCGCGGTCTTCCTCCCCGAGCGCACCACCGAGGATGGTCATGATGCCTCCCAACGTCGCCGCGGTCACCTTGCTCGCGATGTCCTCCATCGCCTTGATCCGGGCCTCCTCGCCGTCTCGGTCGTGGCGGACGACGACGCAGTGCCGGAGAAGGAAGCAGAGGACGGCAGCGAAGACTAACGGCGCGAAGGCCGCGAAAACGCGGTACCTCAGTACCACGAAGGATGCCGATAGCGCGGCGCATGCTAGCGAGCAGAGCAGGAGCGCATTGGCGAGCCTCATGGCCGTGGCGATGGCGAGGAGCCGCCGCCTGCTGCATCGTCGTCGTTGGTTGGTGACCACCTTCGACACCGTCAGCACGAACACGCCGAGGATAGCGGTCGTGAACGTGAAGAAGATGGCGGCGTGGGCGGCGCTTTCGACGGAGCCCGCCGCCGCCACGCCTGCAGAGATCTTGGACAACGCTCTGAAGAGGACGCCGACGAGGCCCCCGAACGCCGAGCTCGTGAGGCCGCATGTTGTCTTGGACGCGGCGTCCAGCTCCTCCTTGCCCTTGTCCTCGTCGTCGTCGTCGTCGTACACTGCGGCTGCCTCACTGCCGCCGCCGTTCCTGCGCCTGAGGAGCCACCAGTGCGCACCGGCGACCGACATGGTGACCGCCGTAACCACGGACAGTCCGACGTACAGGTACACACCGCCCGGCAGGAACGCCAGTAGGCTGAGCAGCGTGAGCACCGACAGCACGGCACATGCGGCGATCAGGCACTTGGCCGCGACGCGGTGGCTTCCAGAGACGAGGACTTGGCGGCCCATCATGTTCAGGCTGAGCAGCACGAGGGCCTCCCCGCTGAGGAAGGTGGCGAAGGACAGCAGCAGCGAGACGGTGAGGCGCACTGCATTGCCCGGGTGCTTGGCCCCCTTTGGGAGGAAGAGCCCACCCAGCAGCACGGCGATACCGAAGACGGTGACCATGGTTCCGACGTCGAGGTTCTCCTTGGCCTTGTTGCATTGCTCCTCCCTCTCGCTGACAGCTGCTGCGGTTGCAGAGGCCGCCTCTGCCTGAAATGTACGAAAATACCAGGTGCTTTAGTCCAAACCGGCTGCTCCAACCTGCGCACATGGATGCGTCAGTTAGTGCATTTACCGTGCAAATTTATGTTTGGACAGCAGATCTTAAGATAATTTTCCTACATTCAATTTGTTTAGATTTTTTCATATATTCAAATTAATTGTAATATTTTTTTATATAATGAATTTCCTTTTGGAATTTTAGCCTTTTTCGATATGGATAATTTACCACTCCATAAGAGCAGCAATTACCATTGTTACTGTACCATCACTGAAGTAGACTGGTCTGGCAGATAAGTATTTAGTAATCGAGGGATTTAAATTGTTCTTGTTTTTTAGGTTGTACATTGTAGGAGTACACAAAGCTTTGGTTAATCAGTTTATATTTGCCAAGAGTTTCGAGATATTTCAGTTCATCAAGGGTCAAGGTGTCCAGTCTAGTGGTCGAACACGGTGCGCTGCTGACCACCAATTAGTGACGAGTCAAGCATCATGCACAGTAGTGTCCTTGTACTGTCCTACTTTAACATCTGCACGCGGTTGCTTTTCCAGTCATCATCTCTGATCTTTCTGACCAACCAACATACATGCCCTGATCCTGACTCCAGACTTCCTGAACCCTGATCCTGACTGCGGCATCCGACTGTGAGACGGACCAGGTCTAAGCCGACAGGTACACTGCAGGCTGACTGTGTTTAATACTCCACATCGTTGGATCTGCAATATGTAACCCGTTTGCTTTTGTGTCCGTCGTCACGCGCGCATGCATGGCCATATCATCGGTGCCGCTAGCTGATTACGCTTGTTCGCATCGCGGGATTCCATTCCATCTTTGACGCGCGTGAAATTAGAAACCGGCCAGCGGCGCGGCGTACGTACCTGGGACAGCGTCGCCGGAGCCGGCCGCGGTGGCGTCCCGTGAGGAGGACGGGTCATCGTCTCCGTCGGCCCGGCCGGGGATGTGGCAGTCGAACTGCTGCACACAAATGGAACAAATAATAGGAACACGGGTCAAGAACAGCCCGGGCGTCGTCGCCGTTTGCCGCTTGTCCGTTTGTGACCGCCGGTCCCGGCTGTGTATATGTATCCAAGTGGCTCCGAATAAAGACTGCCTGATGATGTGATTGTAAAAACAGCATACTGAGCATGAGTGTGTATATATATATATATATATATATATATATATATATATATATATATATATATATATATATATATATATATATATATATATATATATATATATATATATATATATATATATATATATATATATATATATATGCAAAAAATTAAGGGTACTACACTACTCCAGTAATTAATACGTAATATACTCATGCTAGTAATGCTGTTGTTGACAAGAAGTAGAACGAAATTTAAGACTCCGGCCCACTTATCGGACTATATACGTTGCATGCATCTTGCAAAGATCTAGCTAGGCTACCGAAAGCAAAGGTTGTGTTTCGATACTACGGTTGTACTTGTACCGTAGTAGTAGCGCGTACTTTAAAGTACGGAGCACTCTAGATTAGAACACTTGCTAGCTGTTGGATCTGCTCCGTCATTCCAAGTTTCGAACGCCCTGACCTATAGTGGCCCGTTGCCACACACAGATTCCTGCTGCTTCATCGTTAGTTCTAGTTGTCCCTCCCCACCACCTCGTCACACACAAAAAGGAAAAGAAAACAAACAAAATAAACGTCGTCACCGCCATGGATTCAAGCACAAATTCCCACAGTCCACCCCGGCCGGCCGAGGAAAAGGAGAACTTGCCGTAAAAAAAGAGATATGAAACGAAAACTGAAATGGGCTATTGCTTCCTGCGCCTCCTCCTGAGTAGCTAGCGCTGCTACCTACCTACCTCGACTCCTCCAGCCAACACACAATCACACAAACACGAGCATGACGGGTGACGGGCTGACGGCCGGCTGTTTAGGAGGCGCGAGGCGGAGCGGAGCACCGAATTCGATCGGAGAGGAGAGTTGGGCGGCCCTCTACCCAGCTCGATCAGCTCCAGCTGCCAAGCGCGAGGCCAGCCCGACGGGCCGGGCCGATGGGCAGGCAGGACGGGACCGGGACCGCAGGAGCAAGGGGACAGGCTCACACAGCTGGGTAGCATCGATCGATGGTGGGCACCGGCAGGCGGCAGCTAACTAGCTGAGGGAGGGGGTGTGGACACGTATGCATGGTTGGGTAAACGCAGCTGAGCTCATGTAGTCCTCACCTTGAGCTGGTTTCTTGGCCTGCGACCTCCCGATGGGATGGTGTCGCTTCGCTAAGTGGAACGCCACCGTCGAGCGTGTTTATTGCTCGCCGGTGAGGGAGAAGAAGCAGGTAAAACTGGGCTGTGCCTCTGAATGCCTGAATGGACTGCACTGCACTCGTCGTGTCTTATATAGACAGAAAATCGACGACGAAGAAGAAGCCGAACGCGTTTCCGTGTAATTTTTATGGAGGCGCTATGATTTAGAATGTTTTAATAATTACTTTGGGTTAGTAACAGAGCGTGAGATAAATGAAGAGGGTCATACTGAAATGGACAACTATAGTAAAAATGGAGCATGCAATATATCCAAGCCTCCAAGGTGCAAATAAGGATAAAGTTGTGTGCTAAGAGCTATACTTTGGGCTTTTCAAGAGAAGATTGATTTTTTAATAATTAGGTACTTTGGGTCAGTGACGGAGCGTGAGGTAAAATCAAGTGGCCATGCTGGACTGGACAACTATAGTAAAAATATAGCATGCAATCCAAGCCTCCAAGGTGCAAATAAGGATAAAATTGTGTGCTATATATGTAGAGAGCTATACTTTGGACTTTTCAAGAAAAGATTGATGGGATAGAAGAGCTTGAAGATTTAATAGATGGACACAGATATTAAAATTTCCTTTCAGGTCAAGGGGGCAGGAGCCCAGTATCGCCTCTGTGAGGCTCCATCTCTGCTTTGGGTCATTGGGTCAATCCAAAACTTACTCAAATAAACTAGAATGACATTTAGCCATAATTAGTTACGTGACCCAAAAAAACATCAGTGGGTACCCACCTGTGTCGTTATCTCCATATTAGAAGTATTGCTAAAATTCTTATGTGCCCATGGTTTATATGTGTCCATGTGTGAGTGATGAGTGATTGTCAAGGAGGTGACCAAAGCTTTGGTTAAGTGTGCGTGAGACTAACCAAGGCATGAGTGAATGTGTGCATGTCTCTTGACTTCTGACGATGTGTAGGTGTTGAGTGTGAGATGGTCGACGACAATAGAGAAGGTCAAGCGAGGAGTCCATGAATGATGGACCGGGAGTGGTGAAGGGCGGGCGCAAAGGCTTGGACCAAGGGACCGAGGACCAGAGGATAGCCCGTGGATGGCTAGCACTTGTAAACATCGACAAGCAAGTGTATGTGCGAGGATGTTGATGCAGATGGTGTTGATCAAAGCCAAGACGATGAGTGGACCAAGTCAAGGCAGACACACAAGCACTTGGTGATCGGTTGATCGAGAACGAGTGAGACATATGTCGACATTGTGGAGAAGGCGTAGCAGCTATGCGACTCCAAGTGGATTTAGTGGTTTCAGCCTCAAACCACGGGCGACATGTTTGCCAGGTTTGGGCCTTAAAACCCATGGACGATCTCAGGTCGGCACGTGGCATTATTGAAGAGGTTGCATCAAGGTGAAGCGATTTCATGAATGGCCCATGGCCATTTGATGCTTGGAAACCAAGACCATTTTGCCCCTGGTGGCTAAGGGGTTCATGACTAAACCTAGGGGCACTCTTCAAATTGTGTAATAGCCCTATAAATAAGGACAGTGGTTGCCAAGACAACCATCTCTTCCACGCCATGTTATTTCCTTAGGTGGCATTTTGGAAATGGGAAATGGGAGCTGAGATAGGGGAATGAGGGGCATGGGATAGATTTGATGCCATGTTTAGATAATGGGAAATGAAGATAGGGATAGTGAAATAAAGATTAGCATACCCATCCCATACCCCCTCCTTCTATCCCAATCCATTTTCTTTTCCCTATTCCAATCCCTATCTAAACGTGCTATTAGGGTTTAGCCAAGGGCTTCATGTTCTAGAGATATTAGGCTAGAGAGGGGAGATTTCCTCTTAAGTTAGTTTCTCATCTAAAGTGGGAGGATGTTTGCGAGGAGGTTAGCATGATGTATAGATGAATTCATGGTTTGATAATCGAAGTGTTTGCTGAAATCTTGAGTTCATCCTTTCTCTCCCTAAATTTCTTTTTTTTATTTTCATGGTCATTGAAAGTCTTTGGGATCCTTGGAACATATCTAAACCATGTCTTAAAGCCCAGTTTCTAATCTCTCGATTCCAAGCCCCCTAAACATTACTTTTCAAGCCTCTTTTGGTGATTTTCTTCAAATCATTGAGCTGAAGGATTTGGGTTGTTCTTAGTTAATCTTTAGGTGCTACAGGGTTCTGGGAACTTATTTAGCCACTGGTTTTCACTGATTTCTCCTGAGCACCTAAAAATCATTTTTTGGAGGATTCTTAACAAAAACCCAAATTTCTAGATTAGTTTCTATGGTCCATAGGTCCGCTGTGACTACATAATTTTGGCCAGCGTTAGTTGAGGGGTTCGTGGATTATATTCGGATAGGCCAAGTTTATTTTGCAAAGAATTTTATTTCTCCCATTCATTCCTCCTCTAGTGGTCGTTCCAGCCCTTCACCTTTGACAGGCATTCACAGGTTCTTAGACCATGCAACGCTGCCTACAACCATGATTGGAGATAATGCGAGTGCCATAGTGGTGCTTCCCTTCACCCCGGGAACTACTGTGAGGATTGAAGTGACCGTGTGTACTAGCAAGCATTATTATTCAAGTTCATATCCATACTAGACTCTTAATCAAATGGCTTCCTTTGAGAGAATATAAATAACAATATCCTGAATACTTCCGGGTAAAATGCTACAATGATAGCTCCGCACGCTTGCGGATAAATATCTAAAATTATTAAGAAACTATCAAGGCTAATAATTAGTGGCATTGTTGATCACTAGTGATGTTGCTAAGTAATACCAACAAGCACTTATGGCGCAGTTGCTGGGAATACAAAGCTAGTAGCTACGCTAAGAAGTGTCAACAATGGCTTCACCTAGCTTCACCTCGCCCTAGTTGGTCCGGCATGGGATCCTGTGAGAGCATGTTTTAAAAGAGCTCTATATGTAAAACCGTTTTGCTTAACGGTTTACCAGAACGACTCCAACTCCACCGATGAAGCTGTTCGTGGAGCCGAAACAAAAAAAAATAACGGCTTCACCGGTGAAGTGGAGTCGTGCGAAACGAAGAATATAAAATTGGTTGGGAGTTGAAATAATTCTAAGTTCCTATAATTCACTTCTCACACAGAATAACTTCTAATTTATTTTAATTAAAGAACCATAGAGAATAAATTTCAACCGCATTAGTAGTGACTCTAAAAGTTACTTCTCGCATGGATAAGAAAAACGGATAGGCCACATGGTTGCAAACAGCGATGAGCAGGAACGAACAGATGTCGAAATGTAAAGGCCTGTTTGGATGTTAGCCACACCCTGCCAAAAAAAAAAACAACGCCACAGTTGTGGTGAGAAAACATCTGTAAGGCCTTGTTTAGATTGAAAGAAATTTCAACCCGATGAATAGTAGCATTTTTGTCTTATTTGGTAAATATTGTCCAATCGTGGACCAACTAAGCTCAAAAGATTCATCTCGTGATTTCCAACTAAACTGTACAATTAGTTTTTTTTTACCTATATTTAATGCTCCATGCAAACGGCTAAAAATTGATGTGATGGAGAGAGAGTAAAAAAACTTGGAATTTTGAAGGTAACTAAACAAGGCCTAACTCGTAACATTAATTACCAACCAAACAGCTGTTTGAAAGGACTGAGGAGAGGGAGTTCTCAGATGTTTAGGACTGTGGGAGAAAGAAC